TTGACATCATTAAATCCACCCTTCCACCGCAAGTCAAGTGAAATGGCAAGGAGCTCCTTGAGGGTAGGTCCTCGACTCAAGCCCTTGACAGAAAACGCGAAAGGAGGCGACATCCTCGAATAGGAATGAATCACACTCAAACATTTCCCTGACGAAGCGACTTACTTAAATCTCTCCAGTTCACGGGGAAGATAACCCTGACATAAGCCCAAATGAAGTTCACTCGAAGTTCATGGACCTTCATTCGAAAATCATAAACCCAGATTAAGTTCATGGATCTTCATCTGAAATTCATGAATCTTCATATGAAAATCATGAACTTCATCGGAAAGTTCATCCGTCCGCCGTGAGATTCGTCGGAAACTTCATATCCACCGGAAATTTCATACGTTCAACCTAAAATCCTAAGATAAATTAACATGTTAAGAGAATCACTTACTTGAAAAGGGATGAAAGATGGAGAATTCTATGGTGTCGGCGGCAGCGGAGGAGCAACTAGTGAATGGAGAAGAGATGACCCGAGATCAAAGTTGAAAATTGTATTTAAGTGAATTTCGTCACCCCTTTTTACAACTACTCCCATCTACATGGGGTAGCAGGCGAGGGATCATCATTGCTTAGACCCCTAGACTTCCCTAGGTAATGATGGAGCTTTAAATAGCCGTGCACGTGTGACACATGAAGTAATGTTCCGTTTTGACTTCAAAAATCCCATGTGTGAAACCACGCGCTGACGCCATTTAAAGTCTTCGTTAACGAACACGTGCTCGACCTCATTATGGCGTCTTTTTTACGGGCACATCATGAATGTAAGCCCGGGGAAAACTTTGTGTTGGTTTCCCCTGCAAATTCAAATATCAAACAAACACCTCCCATCAAGTTGGACAACTAACAAATCGACCGAGGAGAATCCTTCAGAATAAATTGGCTGCCGTACACGCATGCCTTCGTAGCCGGGCACGAATACGTGATCACGAAAAGTGAATGATGAAATCGATAATCTGGATGACCACATCGTCCCCGACCAAAAAACGATGATTATTATGATTAGGTTTTTGACCTTGAGTGTCGGTGGCGTCCCCGACGAAAGTTAACAGTTCCTTTGTTAAGCAACCTCTCCCCGACAATTAAGATGGTCTTAATTCATCGCTCTTCGCCTAAGAGCAATAACTCGGGGGCTCCTGTTCTGGACTTGGTCTGCGCTTGGCCCACCGTCGAGAAGGCCCAATCCAACGCCTTTACTATGGCCCAATAACGTATGACCCAAGTCGGTAATTGTTGGGGAGTTCTCCATGTGTCCACCAATGAGATGTGACCAACGGTTATCCAAAGTTACCATCATCCTGCTCACCGAGAATAACGGGTCCATAACTTCCTTACTATCTCAGAGTAGTTGACCAGGGAGGAGGCAACATGTTGGTTTCCACTATTCACGTAACCCTGACAATCTTCGTTATCGGGCCTAACTATCCGACCCAATGCGTAGATCTTGACCTATCGTTGGGGGCTATAAATACCCTCTTATACGAGAGGGTCAAGTACATTGATTACTACTCACTTAAACTCTTTGTTTGCATTATTGTTCATATACTTACTTTAGCATCAAAACATCTTGCAGGTACCTTTATTTCACTTTCAACCATTATTCAGTTCAAGCTCGTGTACCATTAACGATCCCTTCTGATCGGATACGATCATATTATAATATTTGTGCTATATGAATGTTTCAAAAAAAACTTAAACACTTTAGAATATCTTATTTTGACAGTAGGTTGATTGAAATTTGCATAAATGATGTTTACTTCCGTTGCTGATGCATTTTACCGCAAGTATATAGTATATAGTAGTAGTTTAATCTCTGTATTATTATAGTAAAGATTGCTTTACAAACTATTAGAAATTTCAACTCTCATATGTGACTAACAATATCATCTTACAGATGCAATATCATCTTATTGTAGTAGATATTGCTTTACAATTTTTTATAAATTGCAACTATCTTATGTGACCAACAAATATACGAATAGCATCTTATCATATGTGAAGCACCCATATTTTCAACCAAATTTTTATAAGAAGCATTTTATCATAACATAAGAAACACCAAAAAAAAAAAACTATTTTCTTTATAATTAGTATACACAAAATTCTAATAACGCATAAAATTTTTTTAGTCACATTAAATAAAAATGTAAAAATATTATATAATAGTTATATATTTATCAATTTTATTTATTTGTGATGTTCTTTTAAAAAATATGTATTTGTTACTCATTAATATTTTGTCTTGGTTTTGAACAAAGTATAACATATTATATATGATCAATATTTATGTATTCTCAATCCGTTAATGTCTGCATCCCAAAAAAATGGGTGGGCAGACATAATATGGTGTGTGAGTCCAAAACAATTATGGATAATGATACGTAATAACTACATTACTTCAATTTTTATTGGTATCTTGTTAGAGTTTAAATGGTGTCAAGTGTATCAATATACTGCTCATTGCTCTTAGATTTTAAAGGCATTGTTCGAGCACAAAGATGCACTTATAAATTCTTCTGTTTGAAATTCATTTCAGGCCTCTATGAAGTATGTTACTAGATTGGTGTATCAGATGTTGAGAGGTGAAAAATAGAAGGTTAGTTGGAGATATCTGATAAGGGGGAATCTAACAAGACCTAGAGCCATCTTCACTTTGTGGATGGCTTGCCAAGAAAGGCACAAACACTATGTCAAAATTGAATTTAGACAGCGCCACATAGACAACGCTTATGCCATAAGCGCTGCTATAGGTTTAAAAAAAAATTAAAAAATTAGAGTAAGCGCTGCTAAAGGTATACCTTAGACAGCGCTTACTAAAAGCGCTGCTAAAGGCCTTTCCATAGACAACACTTCCTTTCCCTAAGCGCTGCTATAGGTTTTCAATAAAATAAAAATAAAAATATAAGAATAAGCACTGCTAAAGGGTATACCTTAGACAACGCTTACTAAAAGCGCTGCTAAAGGATTTAACATAGCCAGCGCTTCCTTTCCCTAAGCGCTGCTATAGGCTTTCAATAAAAAAAAATAAGAATAAGCGCTGCTAAAGGGTATATCTTAGACAACGCTTACCAAAAGCGCTGCTAAAGGTGTGATAAAAGGTATACCTTAGACAACGCTTTCAGGAAGCGCTGCTAAAGGCATTAAACTAAAGCGCTGCTAAAGCCTTAAAGCGCTGCTAAAGGTAATACCTTTAGCAGCGCTTCTTGAAAGCGCTGTCTAAGGTAATTAAAAAATTTCTAATCCCTAAATTGGTTATCAGAAACCCCAAATTTATACAAAACCCCACTTTATACAAAACCCCACTTTATACATGCAACTGTTCATCTTCGTCTAACTCTCCCTCCTCACCATCTCCTTCGTTATTTTTGTCTTGTTTAATCTCTTTCAAATCCGTTTACAATCGTTGAAGCTGTGGAACTCAAAATAAGGTTCTTTCTTTTAACCCATTCTCTTGTTCATCTTTTATTCATCATTTTTTAATTCCGATGCGATTCTCTGTCACGGGTTAAGTGTTTAGGGTTCCGATTCAAAATCTTACTTATAGTAATGATTTATGATATGCGTTTAAGTTTGAACAACTTTCATTGCGTTTATGAAAATAAATCTGCAGTTTTTGTTTGCTTATTGCTTGGTACTTCAGTTCTAAAATTCATGGAATAAAATTATTGTATCTGCATACCTAGAAGTTGACTGATTTATCTGGTTTTGAATGTTGATAGAGTGGTATAGTGGGAAATATTTAGATTCTGACATTCAGTAATGGATTTCAAATGTTTGGGTCTTTGACTAGTTTTTAGGAAACAAACGTATCTGTAACATGATTAGTAAGCCACCATGGAATTAGAAACTAAAGTAAAAGCCATTTGATTAGGAAGACTATGCATAGATGTTTACTAGACATAATAAATTTTAGTTAGATGGTTTAACAGGTTTCATGTAACGAGGGGGCAGTCCTCTTTTTTTATTTTTTTATTTTAGTGTTTTATATTCAATACTACTTTAAAAAATGAATGTGATTAGATGTTAACTTTGAAGATAACGTATCATTTTATTCCCTTCATTGAAAGTTATACTTGATATACTCATTTATTTCTCTTTCATTTCCCTACAAAACCCTTCATCTAGACATACTCTCATAATGTGTCTACCAAAATAAGTTAATGGTAAGTTTTTATTTTGAAGCATGGTAGTATTATCTAGAAAACTGAAGTTGGTAAAATAGTTGAATTTTCTTGTTCCCAACTAAGATGTAGAGGGAAAAGGCTTAACTATCTGAACTGTATTTTCATTTATAATTCGAGGCCTTATAGTAATAATCAGTTGCATGTGACTGTTACTGGTTGGAAGATATCACTGAGTCGTTTACTTTTTTAAAATGGGCTTGTTCTAAAGTTTCTCAACTTTTTGTATATGTATATGTCCTTTATAAATTTCCAGACATATCTATCTAGATTCCAGACATATCTTTTTCCCTTCCTGAAGAGGCCAGAAGAAAATAAGCTTAGTGATGAAAGTTGTTTTCTAAGGATGAAGTGTTTGTTTCTGATATTGTTTTCGATATGATTCAGTTTTTTGAACTAAACATACAACAAGCAAGCAAATAATGTGATGGCCATGTGAGAGATTATAGAAGAGTAATTAAACTTGATACATTATCCATTATCCATACATTAGCTCCTTTATAAATTTCCAGACATATCTATCTAGATTCCAGCCATATCTTTTTCCCTTCCTGAAGAGGCCAGAAGAAAATAAGCTTAGTGATGAAAGTTGTTTTCTAAGGATGAAGTGTTTGTTTCTGATATTGTTTTCGATATGATTCAGTTTTTTGAACTAAACATACAACAAGCAAGCAAATAATGTGATGGCCATGTGAGAGATTATAGAAGAGTAATTAAACTTGATACATTATCCATTATCCATAATGAAGCATTAAAAAGCTAGAAATAAAGCAGTCAAGGTTTGGAGTTGATGATGAGAATCACCACAAACAAGAAAGCCATCAAAACAAGATTAGCATGAAGAGAAGTTGCTGCAGAGAAAGTTCCAGTAGGTGTAGTAGTAGTAAGAACAAGAACCATCCAATCATCCTCAGAATTAAGTCCAACTCCAGTGTACTTTGAATTGTTGAGAAACTTCGCATAGATATCATTATGAGTGTAATTAGATAGCACAACAGTTGGTTCCAATTTAGGCACACAAACAGGTAGAATGACTCCATCTGTTGTAGTGTTCATGTTAATATCACATTTATCTATATGTCTTTGCAAATTGGGAATGTATACTTCATAAGTTGTGATAAAGTGAAAGTTCTTACCTGAGGTGATGACCTGAAACCTTGATTCTTATGTTAGGTAGAGATCAAATAGTTTAATAAAAGCTATGAAAACAGATAGAAGTTTGACCACGGTGGCAGAGAATGTACTATGTAGTTGTAAACTGTCTTAGGAACACATGTACTTCCTCTTCTTGTTGGTTTGACCGTTAAAAAGAGTATGCATCAACAGACGCAAAGTGCCCGTTTGGTAACACTTTCTATCTCTTTCTCATCAAAACTTTATTTACAATCCAAAAATGATCCTAAGGTGTGTTTTTTATTAATCACGTTACCAAATCATTCTTATGCAGTTGAAGAAAATCAATTAAGTTAAGTGATTATTGATTTATAATTGTTCACTATTGATGTGATTTCGTGTTAGATTGTAAAATTTAGTGAAAAGTTACGAAATTGGGTTCATATATATATATGGCCCTTTTAGGATAAATAGTTTAATTAAGCACTTATAGCATAAGCGCTTATAGCATATGTTAGCTCTCCTTCTTGGTAAGTTATGTGGGTGAGTTTTAGTTTGTGGCACAGTTTTATTTATATTTGTTGCTTTGTGTGTTGAATTTGTATTACGCATGATGAGCAAGACGTGTTTCCTACAAAAGCAGAGGTGGCCACTTATGTTGCTGCAAGTGCGGCGGCCACTGTCGCTTATGTCCTTTTGAAATTGCTTTGTAAAACTCTTCATTTTATGGATATATTATGGTTACTGACTTGTTGATATGTTTTTCATATCTCAAATAACTGTCATATGTTGAACAAAGTAAGGTAAACCAAGGGCCTAAACATTGTCTGCATTAATCTAATCTTTTATATGTAAACTGATCATACTAGAATATTGAGCTTTCCGTGAAAGATAGAAGAAACAGTTTCCATTAATCTCTTCCGTTGTTCATGACTAAGTATATCACATACTGATCCTGTTACATTAAACCCTTTTCTTTTCCACTCTTCCAAACATTTGTTAATATCATCTTCCTTACGTGAACATATATGCACCGCTGCTCCAAATTCTGCTAACTCTTCCACAATTGCGAACCTAATTCAAGAATCATAATAGAAAAATATAAATAAATGTATACTATTATTCTATAAATACTTGAAGTAAGAGTAAGATATCGAAATTACCCAATGCCTTTGGTTCCTCCAGTTACTAATGCAGTCATACCTTCCAGCGACCATCTTTTATCCTTCAACTTTGTTTCAGCCATTTTTTCTTGATTATTATCCACTACCCTTGAAATACAAAACCAGAACTCTATTTGTGAAATAGAAAGAATAAGCTGATTATATTATATAGACAATAGTGTTATAGACCTCTGGTAATTTTAAGGGACAAAGTTAAAATACTTTAAGAAGAGGAAAAACTATAATGAAGAATATCATTCGTGATAGAGATAAGGGTATAAAATATGATGTGCATTGGAGTCCAAATGACCAATTAATTGAGCCTAACGGTTCTAAATTGACAAGTTACATTGGCACACTTGTAAGGAGAGAAATTCCAATAACTTGTGATGAGTGGAGAGATGATAAGCTGAATGATGCTAAAAACAAAATCTGGAGTGAGATACAGGTACTTTAAATTATGTCTTTAAATTACGATTATGTACTTTAAATTATGTCTTTAAATTACTTATACTAACGCACTTTGTGTATGTTTTTTGTAGAGGTCTTTCAACATTGATGACAAAAGAAAAGATTATTGTCTTGGATTGGCCGGCAAAATACTGAGAGGGTTTAGAACATATTTAAACAGAAAATATCTTAGAGATGCCGGAAAAAAATTTGTTGATGCAGAGCGTCCAGCAGAATATGCGGATGCGATTTCAGTTAAAGAATGAGATGTTTTTAAAGCCAAACAGAAAACCCCAAAATTTCAGAGTGTTAGTGAAGTAAATCGTCTAAGAGCATCATCTCCCGCATATCCATACAAAAAAGGGTGTTTGGGATATGCACGATTAGAACAAAAAATAGTAAGTATTTACAAATTGCAATGATATACTTGTTCATCAATAGTTATAACTGAGCTTGTTTTTTGTGTTAATGTGTAGTTAAAAGAGGAGAGTAGTTCAGAAACATCTCTTCCGGAGCATGTTTTGTGGAAGGCTGCCCGTGTGGGTAAGGATGGAGTTCTCAAAGAAGATGTACAACAAATTTTTGAAAAATGCGTAAGTATAACATTAATTCTAATTAAATCAAAATTTTATTAACATATAGTATTCATGTTTTTCCAATATTCATATGAATTTCAGGAGAGTCTGTCTCAGTCTACATCTCCACCAGATGATTGCAGGAGCATACTTAGTCGAGCATTAGATGTTCGTGAGTATTCTGGTCGGGTGAGGGGTAAAGGACATGGGGTTACTCCAACCTCCTTGAAAAAGAACAATCCAAAGATAAAATCTGCTAGCAATAAAGAACTGCAGGCCAGGTTGGATGCATTAGAAACTGAAGTTCTTGAATTGAGGAAGGAAAAAGCAAGACAATACCAATCAGAAAGGGAAGCTTCGGGTGTTAAAGAAGCTAGTGACATAGCTAGTGTCAATTGTGCAACTCAACCAAGTATTCCCGAGGTACTTACATATATTATTATGAAATTAAATTAGTGTAATTTATTTAACTGACATATATACACATTAACGATGTCATATTTATTATTGATTTTAGGGCATTTCACCTTGTCAACTCTTTTTAGAGACACTAACTTATCGCATGGTTGGTAAGGGAAAAGTCCATAACACTCTGGGAGAAGTACTTCATCATAAACCGCTCCCTTCTGGATATTTGAAAGTGTCGATTGATATTGCTTTAGAGGAGGGTGCGTTATTACCAATCCCAGATGAAGTTTCGGATGCAACATTGGTGGGAGAGGCAATAGGAGCGTTTGTTGCATGGCCGTCAAGGCTTGTTCGCATAGATGATGAGGTATAATTAAAACCTTTATGAACCTTTTAGTACTCAAATTTTTCACGTTCGTTTTACTTACATTTTTTTTGCATGGTAATGTTAGACTCCTACAAAACCCAAACCAAAAGATAAAGGGATTACGCGGCCAGAGGAGTCAGTGACAGCAAAAAAACAGGTACAACAAAGTTATATGATATTTATGCTTAGATAATGTTAATTTGTCGTCCTATACTTGACCACTCTAATTTTATGATATTTAGATTATTCCTGCTAAAGAGATTGAAGCTGTAAGTAGGGGTAAGGAGCCTGTAATTAGCAACATTCTCACAGAAACAAAGAGTGTTGCTAAGAGGTTCGGGGCTAGAAAGAAAACTACTTCACAATATAGGTCGTGCCTTCAGACATTTATAAGCTTCACAACTATTTCGCAAGGTGGTACTTCTCTTATACCACTGCATGAAGGGATTTATGGTTCTGAAGGCATGACAGCAATTGGTAAGGAGGATTTGGAACAAGTTTTTGGACACTTGACATTAGGCATGGTTGTTATCAATACATACATCAGGTATACTCCAATCAACTTTGTTTAATTAATTGCAAAATTTATTTACTCATTTCAATGAATAATTAATGTTAATGATGTTTTTATTTAAGGTTTCTGTATGACAAGTTGATTCGCCCGCGTGGATTGGAGTCCAGATTCGCTTTCATAAATCCCAACATTGTCCATGCAGGGTCAATAATCGCAAAACCAGATGAAGTAATAGCATTTGTGCTCAGTTTATTTATGGCTAGCAAAGATACAGAAAAATTGTTCTTTTTACCATATAATACTGGCCCCAAGTAAGATTTTCATTCTAAATTACCTCTATTATAATTTTTCATTTTTTAACGTTGTGCATAAAATTTCCATCTAACCTTTGTTTAATATTCCAGTGGACACTGGTTATTGGTTGCAATTAATCCTGTGAGAGAAATTGTATATTATCTGGATTCATTGGGCAATGATTGGACAACATACTCAGATATGAAGAAGACGATTGACACGTAAGTGACATTGTTCCAAAATATTACTGTGTATATTTAATTATTTATGTGCGATAGTTCTAAATATTCGTTATTATTTTATTATAGCATTCTACAAAGTTTTCGAGCACAAAGAGATATTCAAGTACCAAGGAGTAGAGTCAACAATATTTCTTGGATCAAAGTGGAGGTATAGATTTTCACAGTTTTGATTATATAGCGATGATACTTGATAAAACAAGTTAAGGTGTATATCTTGATGTATATCCGTATTTTCTTTCCATGTGTAGTGTCCTCGTCAACGCAATGATGTAGATTGCGGTTATTTTATGTTGAGGTTTATGAAAGAAACTATTCTTTTGGACCGATTAGAGATTCCATCCACGGTATGAATTTCTAACTTAGGAATTATTTTCATATTTCTCATAAAATGACTTAGTATTTTAATTAAATCATACTATGTTATATTATTATGTAGTACTTTGATGAATTCAAGTGTGCTTCATACTCAAAAGATCAATTGGATGAACTTATGGAGGATTGGTGCCAATTTGTTATGGAGTTGAGAGTTTTATTATAAGGTATAACTTTGAGTTTTGAGAATATAATATATGTCGTTATAGTTGTGTTACAATATTATTGTTTTTGTTGTTGTTATTTGGTAACTTGTATGAATTTTGATTTTTTGATTTTGTTTTCGGTTATATAGGTGCAGCTCGATGTAGAAGATAGAGTTATATATTCATCGTGGATTTTGTTTCATTGTTGTATATACTAATGTTGTTGTTGTGTATATTGTACAAAAAGGAGTGAAGAGATGAATATTGATGTAGTTATAATATTGTTTCATTGTTGTATATACTAATGTTGTTGTTGTGTATATTGTGCAAAAAGGATTGAAGAGATGAATATTGATGTTGTTATAATATTATTTCATTGTGGTATATATTAATCTTGTTGTTATGTATATTGTGCAAAAAGGATTTAAGAGATGAATATTGATGTTGTTATAATATTGTTTCATTGTGGTATATATTAATGTTGTTTTTGTTTAAAATGTTATAATGAAGCTATAATTTCTGGTGCAAAAACGGTGAGAATAAATTTGATAGGCAGCGTTTTGTTTTAAATGAAAGCGCTGTCTAAAGTGATTGAAAAAAAAAATAAGGAAAAGCGCTGCTAAAGGGGGGGGGGGTAATAGACAATACTTTTCATGAAAGCGCTGTCTAAAGTGATTGAAAAAAAAAATTTTAAAAAAATGAGGAAAAGCGCTGCTAAAAAAGCGCTGTCTAAAGTGATTGAAAAAAAAAATTAAAAAAAAAAGAGGAAAAGCGCTGCTAAAGGGGGGGGGGGGGGGGTAATAGACAACGCTTTTCATGAAAGCGCTGTCTAAAGTGATTGAAAAAAAATTTTAAAAAAAATGAGGGAAAGCGTTGCTAAAGGGGGGTAATAGACAACGCTTTTACCAAGCGCTGTCTAAAGTGATTGAAAAAAAAGCGCTGTCTATACCTTTAGCAGCGGAGGTTTTAGCAGCACTTTTAAGCGCTGTTAAAGGCCTAAAAAAGCGCTGTCTAATCCCTTGTTTGGCATAGTGAGGATAGATTGGTAAAGTTCGGTATCAATACTGATGGTGTGTGTGTGTACTGTGGCATGCAAGAGAATTGCAATCACTTATTTTTTGACTGTATGGTTACAAAAGTTATCTGGAGCCAGAATCTTGTGTGGATGGGTATGAATCACATACCTAGGGAATGGAATATAGAGCTTGAATGAGTGAGTAGGATGGCCAAATGAAAGAGATGTAACTAGAAGTTGATGAAGTTGCTGGTGGCAGAAACTATATATAACATATAGTTTGTCAGAAACCAAATTATTTTTCAGGGGGACAACAAAGAGAAGTTATGCAGCAAATGAATAATTGAAATGGTCACTGTGTGAATGAAATTAGTTAAAAAAAATTGGCTCAGCTATGTAAAGATATGTGATGTGCTTTTTGTTAGTCTGTTTGGATAGTTTGTAAGCTTTGTCTGTAGGGTGCCTGGATCTTTGGATCGACTTTGTAACTAACTATTTTTTGGATTAATATATTTTTCTTTCTCCAAAAAAAATTAATTACCTCTAATATTATTTCAATTGATTGGCCTATCCAAATTTAATATTATCAAAACATAGGTTAATTACTTAATTTTTTTTATTATTTAATATTTTTTTTATTTCAATTTCGTAACATAGAAATTTAAGCCGACAAAGTGTAAAATCAAATAAAAAATCATTT